CACCGGAGTCGTCATGGCCAATGGTTTGGGTGCGATCGTCTCCTTCCCCATTCCTTTTCTCATCGATATTGCTTTATCTTACCCTTTGCCCGCAACTCAAGTCAAGACTGGAGATGGCGATGCAATTCTGGAGTACATTAGAACAACAGAGTAACTCAACTTCGATGACCCATTCTATTCTTTTTGCTAGCTGCGTTTGAGCAAATAACAAAGTGGTCAATCCGTCCAATTCTGATCTGTATGTTCAACAGGAACCCCATTGGAACCATACTTGTTGGTGAAACGTGGAAGGATATAATGGCACCTTACGTTGCTTCCTTTTCTTCCAGAGGACCGAACCGTCTCAACCCAGAGATTCTCAAGGCAAGTTAGAAAGAACAGTTCGGTTCCACTCAAATGTTCATCTCGATCTCATGCCTTTGTCTAAGTTTTCATCATGTCCTGAGTATGCTTTCTGATCTCCTTGTTCGTTTTGGTGGGAGAGCAGCCAGATATAACTGCGCCCGGACTCGATATCCTAGCTGCTTGGTCTCCGGTGGCATCTCCATCTGGTTCTCCATTTGACACAAGGAAGGTGAAGTTCAATGTAATCTCTGGCACATCAATGTCCTGCCCTCACGCTAGTGCTGTTGCAGCATACGTCAAGGCTCTCCACCCGAACTGGTCCCCTGCCGCCATCAAATCTGCAATCATGACCACAGGTTTAATTTGAACCATAACCAGATATTGAATCCTTGCAAAAACTACAGTGGCATTGAACTTGGTTTTCATATATTGGATCCATCTGTGTCTTAGCCAATGTAATGGACCCAAGGAAGAATGATGATCATGAGTTTGCCTATGGTGCTGGCCACGTCAACCCATTGGCAGCCACCAATCCTGGGCTTGTCTACAATGCATCTGAAGCTGATTACATTCATTTCCTCTGCAAGCAAGGCTACAACACCTCTACCTTAAAGCAGATCACCGGCGAGAGCAATGCTTCCTGCGATGGGATAGTCCCAGGAAGAGCCTGGGATCTGAACTATCCAACGTTTGGTGTAGCAGTGGAAGATGGTCAGTCTGTCAATGCAACTTTCACAAGAACAGTCACAAATGTTGCCTCCGCGAATTCCACTTATCGTGTCACTGTGCAAATGCCGAGTTCTGTCAATGTGGAAGTTCATCCCAAGGAATTGTCTTTCTCGACAGTTGGAGAGAAGAAGACGTTTACGGTGAAAGTCTCTGGCCCAAAGATGGTCGAGCAACCGATTCAGTCGGGCACCATTGTCTGGAAAGATGGAGTTCATGTGGTTAGAAGTCCGTTGATTGTTTATACAATCACCCCAAATTCTATGACCACTTCGCCATTTAGGCCAACTGAGAGAATCGGGTTTGGGGCCAATTCTAACAATTGGAACATGCATTTCTAGACCAATTAGGTCTCCATTTCAAAAAAAATTATGGGTTATTACATTATGGATGAGAGTTTAATCCTACAAATAATTATCTTTTAATTCAACATTGTGTCATCATATCCCAACTTTTTTTTCTTTGCCTTTACATTTGTTGTGTTTGAATTTATGATGTTTAAGTGATGTTATTGTTTGTATTAGTCGATAATTAATAAAGTTCAATATTTTTATATTTCAACTTTGATTTGTGATATAAACTAAAGAATAATAGTGAGGAAAATATAATTTTAGTTGATGTGTTTCAAATATTCTAATGATCATCAAAACATATATATAGAGAGGAGTGTATATCAGAGTTTTGCCACCTCAGCCACCGAGAAGCAGCCCCTATTTTGCGGAGGGGTATTTTTGACCAAATATATAACTATATCAGAACCTCACCTTGCCAGTTCTTGGACCGGATAATTAGGCCCGCTAAGAGAAACAGACACCAAAAATTGATACTGATCCTCCTAACATTCCAACTTCCAAACACATTTATACGGTCAGCAACTCAAAAGCAAAAGCACCCCTTAATTTGATTTTTTGAAGGTTATTGAATGTGTATATATGATTTTTGCCAATTCAGCAGCTCAAAAGCACCGTATAATTTGTGGAGGGGCATACCTAAAAAACCATTCATGAATAAGTTGGTTATAGGCCATATAGTAGAGAAACGAATAGATGATTATTTATTGGGTTAATATATTTGTTTGGCCTGACTTTTTTTATATTTTAACATACTGATAAATTCATTTGGTATTTAACATTGTGGCCCGAACTAATCTTGCATTTTATTAATTTGGCCAAACCCAAGAGTTGACCGTTAGTTTTGACGGTAGAGACCGTTGACTAACGATCATCCCACCACATCACTGCCCAGTCAACATTAATAAACTTAAAAAAAAATCCTAAATTCCACATAATTTCTAGAAGTTATTATAATTAAAACAAAAATTGATAAGCTTAAATTCCCAAGGCTTCTACCGCAGGCAATTTTAAGTCAACCTCCAAACCCTCAATTGTTTCCATTTTTTATTTTTACTTTAATTTAGAAATATTTTTTATTTTTATGTAGAATTTAGAAAAAATTATGCTCATTGGAGAGTGATGTAGCGGGTTGACCGTTAGTTAACGACAGTAAAAAATAACGATCGATTTTTGAATTTTAACATACTGGTCAATTCATTTGGTATTTAACATTGTGGCCCTAACTAATCTTACATTTTACAAATTTGGCCAAACCCAAGAGTTGACCGTTAGTTTTGACGGTAGAGACCGTTGACTAACGGTCAACCCGCCACGTCACAGGAAGGTGATGGGTAAGTTTTTTAAGTTTGTTATATATTGAGTTTATTAAATGATTTATTTTTTAAGATAGTGAGTGAATTTCATTACTAGGCCAAAGTCATGTAAAGAGATATTTATAAATATATATTATATTTCAGTAATAAAATTTTAATTCTTTTATCTCATAGATATATCTTTTATGTCTAATACACATTAAATAGGTTGGATTTCGATTTCACAATTGTATTGTAAATTAACTTTAATTTAAATTTAAATCAATATAACGACCTGTTGTCAGGTTGTACTTATAAGTATGGTGATAAAACTCACCCGGCCAATTGGTCGGGCAATGAGATGCAACAGTTGCATTCCAATAGGTGGAAAAATGAGGTCATAATAGAATTGTTTTAAAAACTCAATGGAACTTTAATTTACATTATCGAACCGCCATGAAAAAGTTATATTCACCAGACTGGAATAAAGGGGAATAGGCAAATGACTCTCATGGCATCAATGTTTCAAGTTTCAACCATTGATAGAATAACCACAACGTGACAACTGGCGAAGCATTTCGTAAAAACATAAACGGGTCAAAGGACACCCTAAAGCAAGATATATGTTGTAAATGAAACAACCACAACCCGGCCAACTGGCCGGACAATGTGCTAGTAGATCAATGTTTATGTGGTTAGTCATATATTGTGGTTCAATTAGTTAGCTACTGCAACTTAACTATTCAATAATACTATATATGTATGCTTGTTTGCAATTCAGGGAGTAGAATATATCACTATAAATTTGTTGTATAAAAAAATTAGCAAAACACAAACCATAAAGCATAACTTCAAAAGCAACAAGAAATATATAACGGTCAACTTCATTGCATGTTAGTCAACCTCTAGATCACTTGCCACGTCAGCAAACTCGAAATAAAAAAAAATATTTTGAATTTTCAAAAATAATGAAAATAATTATGATTATTTTTATTAGATAACGAAAATTATTATTGTTATTAGATAATGAAAATAATTACATAAATTCAAAATCCATATGATACATTTTTGCTCTTTGTTCTTTTCCATTTCAAATGCATAAACTTCTTAAATTCCCTAATTAATAGTAGTCGAACTCCAAATATGTAGATTGTCGGCTTCTAATTCATAACTTTATTGGCAAGCGCGTGCAAAATACTATGATAGTTTTTATATAAGAATTGAGTCTGAGCGAGACAAGCGATTAAAGATATATCAAATGCGAATATATAGATTAATTTCATGACAACAACACAAAATTATATTTAGAAAAAAAATAAAAGAAAACAAAAGATATAGGAAGAAAACAAAAGAGAAGATTGAAAATAAAAGTAAAAATATATAATCAAAATGGACCCACAAGATTAATATTCTTGAACTTAAATATCCTCTTAATGAATAGTAACACTAAAACTATACTTTTTATAATAGAAGAATATGCATGCCTTTTTTTTTTAATGATGAAATGATATTAAAACTGGAACCAGAAATGAGTTCATACAATAGGCAGCACAAGCAATGCCCCAGGAGAAAGGAAAATGTCGAGAGATCAGATCACCAGAACAACAAAAGAAAAGAGAAGAAAAGAGAGACTAGCAAAACGAACTAAACAGGCAGAAGAGAGCTAGGCACACCGGGAGACCTCTGCTCAAAAGACAATAAAGGAAAAACCAGGCAGAATATGCATGCTTGTTTGTGATTCGGGGAGTAGAATATAGCACTGTAAGTGTAACTATGTTGTATAAAAAAATAGCAAAATGTAACTTATAAAACATAACGTCAAAAGCAACAATGAAATCTACAAAGATGATGTGGAAAAGCACCATAGCAATTTGCACTTGGTGGTCAATGGGGCAATGGATCAAAGGAGGATGATCACATACTATTGAGTAATAAGAATTTGTTTGATGTAGAGTTTAATTAGAAATTTGATGAAATTACTCGCTCTTAGATGGAAATAAACAAAGAATTTGTTTCAGCCCTAATGGTCGGGTCGTAGGATTTATCTGATCGGGACGTTGTCGGGTTATTCTTTCTTTCTGCCCAGAATCATTTGCGACCTTTTTTTGACGACGGTTTCATAACTCTTACTGAAACTCGTCATCTACATTTAACCGAGACGGGTTCTTGGTATTTTGCCACAGAGTTCTTGTGACAGTTTGGTTATCGTCCTAATAATAGTTATGTAGTGAGTAATGACTTCCCGACGACGAAAACAAAAGAAGAAATGACAGAGAGTCTAAATCCAATTCTGAAGGTGTTCAATTCATAGAGCACAAATTTGAATTCAAGGTAATGAATTTCCAAGATAAACTATCTTCCACAACATGAGAGGCCCCTTAACAATGTTACACATGACTCATGAGTATCAATTTGTCTCTAAAATTTCATGTTCTAGTCGGCCAGGTTGATCCCCAAATCTGATTTTCTCAGCCGGCTTGAAGGGCAAAGCCGCCATAGAATTTGGCGTGATGGTATACACAACCAACGGGCTTCTCGCCACATGAACTCCATCTCCCCACAAAATGGCACCCGACCTGATCGGTTGATCCACAATCTTCGGACCAGAGACCTTCACTGTAAACGTCATACTCTGCCCAACCGCCGAGAAGGGCAGAACCGTCGGATGAACTTCCACATTCACAAGACTCGGCATTTGTACACTGACATGGTAGGTGGAATTCGGGGGGCCAACATTCGTCACTGTCCTGGTGAAACTAGTGCTGATGGATTCACCATCTTCCACTACCAGACCAAACGTTGGATAGTTCAAATCCCAAGCTCTCCCGGGCGCTACCCCGTTACAAGACGCGTTACTTCGACCGGCGATCAGCTCCATCGTGGTGTTGTCGTAACCTTGCTTGCAGAGGAAATAGATATAATCGTCTTCAGAAGCGTCGTAGACGAGTCCAGGATCAGCGGCAGCCACTGGGTTGATGTGGCCGGAGCCATGGGCAAACTCATGACCTTCATTCTTCCTTGGATCCATTACATTGGCTAAGACATAGATGGACCAACATTTATGGAGAATCAAGTTCAATGCAGGAGTCATTTTGCACTTCAAGTAATCGAAAAGGATTCAAAGGTCTTTGTTGTTCCATACCTGTGGTCATGATTGCAGATTTGATTGCTGCCGGGGACCAATCCGGGTGGAGAGCCTTAACATAGGCAGCAACAGCACTTGCGTGTGGGCAAGACATTGACGTGCCCGAAATTACATTGTACTTGACCTTCCTGGTGTCGAATGGTGAACCAGAAGGCGATGCTACTGGCGACCAAGCAGCCAGGATATCGACACCAGGCACAGTTATATCTGGCTGCTCCACCACGAACGAATTTGAACATAATTAGGGTACAAGAACTTGACAAAATGCACTAGATCAATGAAATATGATCAGTTGAACATGTCAGGCTCACCTTAAGAATCTCTGGGCTGAGACGGTTTGGTCCTCTGGAAGAGAAGGAAGCAACATAAGGAGCCATAACATCCTTCCAAGTCTCGCTAACTAGTATAGTTGCAATGGGGTTCCTGTTAACATGTATCAAACTCTGTAATGTGACTTAATGACAAAAGCCCATAGTAGCCAAAAGCATCCTGAGTTCATTGAAGTTAAATTACTCTGTTGTTCTAATGTAGTCCAGAATGGCATCACCATCGCCAGTCCTGACTTGAGTTGCCGGCAAAGGGTAACTGAATGCAAAGTCGTTGACAGAAGGAACCGGGTTGAACAAGATGGCACCTAAACCATTGGCCATAGCCACCCCAGTGAGATCTCCAACTATACTGTGACACAGAACAATCTTCCCGGCTGTTTTATATGAATTGAGACTGCCCGGCAGGCAATTCTTGGCGTTGATTACGCCCGACCCACCGGAGTAATTGGCCACATCTCCCGCCCAAACCAACGGAAATGTAGTTCCGTTGAGCTTAAAGCTATTAACTGCAATGCCCTGTTTCAGTCAGGCAAATAAACAAACATGTTAGCTGCAATATGAGATGGATCACAAACAGGAAGGAATTGAAGCGAAAGGAGCTTACTGGGAAGGTTTCTCCATTTCCAAGAACGACTTTGGAAACGAACTGACGGTCAATAGTACTAGCAGCCACGGTCAACATCCACGGCGCCAAATTGGACGCAGTGGCCGGCGTAGGGCCCGAGTTGCCAGAGGAGGCAGAGGTCAACACGCCGCGTTTCATGGCGTGGAAAGCTCCGATAGCCATGGCGTCCTCAAAGAACGGAGGTGGGACGCTGGAACCCAGTGACATGGACAAGATATCGACGCCGTCGGCTATGGCGTCGTCAAATGCGGCGAGGATGTCGGCGTTGGAACATCCGCGATTCTGCCAGCAGACTTTGTAGACGGCGATTCTGGCATTTGGGACCCCACCGGTGGCAGTTCCTTCGGCGAGACCGAGAAAGCTCGCCCCGGCGACCTTCCTCCCGGCGGCCGTGGAAGAAGTGTGGGTGCCGTGTCCCATGGCGTCTCTTGGGGACTTGAATTCTGAGGGGTCGTACATGCCACCGGTGTTGTAGTACCGGGCGCCGATGATTTTGTTGTTGCAGGTGATGTTGTGGCATTCTCCCTTCCATTTCGCCGGCGGCGGAGTCATTCCCTCATCGTTGAAGCTTTCGGATTCCGGCCAAATTCCTACCAATCCACATAAATAGAATGAAATGATGTATCCCGTGAATTTAATTGACTATATTATCACGATAACTAGAAAGAAGCCCTGGTACACACCTGAATCAAGGAAGCCAATAATTACATTTCCTTCTGTCTGTGCACTAATCTGGCCAGGGGAGAAGTTCATGAATTCCCATGAACGAGTGGTATGAAGATGAAGCTTGTGGTTGGGGATCACCGAGATCACTCTCTTCATTTCTGCATTTCCAATTCCAAAATTAGGACACCTAGCTTCAATTAAGATTCAAGTAAATTTATGTTGTGTGGCTATATATGGATCTTCACTCGAGAATTTTTCAACTTCTTGAGGTGATAATATGGCGGCAAACGCATTGAAGCTCCTTCCATAGCTGTATACCAACGACTCTTTGGCCAATGAAGCACTGCACTCACAAGCAGAAAAGTGTTGTTCTGAGTCTTGACTTATTACAGCATGCATGCTAATATTAGTTACATAAAACGATAGGAAGAAGAAAGAATGATGAAAACCCAAAAAGAAATTTGGATTTTGGAGTGTTGAATAGTAATTTCACCTTCCAAGGACACGTTCCAGCAGGGAAATGTGACGAACTGCCAACAAAGATGACATATTTCCACTGGGACTGTGTGGCCGCTCTCCCATGTAAACGATATGAACCTTCCTCTCGTCGGAGTTTCCCCGGCAATAATGCAGCAAAATTGATGCCAGCAAAATTGGATACAGAACTGAAACCCACCGCCGGAAGATGATGATGGTCATGGTTGCTGAAGTAAATATTTCGGGGGATTTCTTGGTTCGGTTGGAGAGCTCAATTACTGTCTGATTCTTATATATAGGCGGTGGAGCTTCACAAACCTGGGTTATGAATTGAAACAACATTTTGGTGTCGTCCAAAGCAGAGGATCTGGTGAACTGGCTAGTAAGTAACTAGTCATGGGATTCAATGTTTTGATGATATTGCTCGTTGTCCAGAGAAAAATGCCATGTTTTGGGTTTTCATGGTCCATCAATGGCGGAAACTAGAGTTAATATTGAGTGGCACAATGGAAAGGAAACAGAGTCCTGAAGAAAGAACACATATCCCATCCTTTTGTACCCCTCAAGTTACAGGCGCACACTAATCACAAAACAAGAAAATGAAAAAAAAAATTTAAATAAAAGCTCCCTACGCCTTTCTTTCTCCCTAAATTGCTTCTACTGCTGCTGCTACTACTACTACAAACAAACCTCCATCCATCATCATGATCCCGCTGAACTTTGCCCCTGAGATTGATTACTACTCCCGCCGCCGTCGCCACCGCCGCGTCCGTCCATCAGTTGCAATTCTTGCTTGTTGTCGTAAATCTCCAACGAGAAGTCTCGAAGGGTTCGAACTTTCCCGCCGCCGCCGCCGCCGCCGCCGCCACCCGCTACGCTAGAACTCACACTCGGCGCCATCGCCGACGATCTCTTAGAAGCCAACTTCGACCCCACCGTCGTGCTCGTTATCACCGCCGGCGGGGGAGCTCTCATTTCTATCCCGCCGGCTGAATAGTGACTATTTGTGGCGCTATTTGCCGTTGCCGCCACGTAGGACGATATGGGCCGAGGGGCCGCTCCTGGATTTGCAGCTGCCACGTTGAAAACGGGAGTCATGGAGGGGGATAAGGCCCATATTTGAGCCTGCTGCTGCTGATTCCCCATCGGCCCAATGGTAGGACCACCAGGCCCAACGCCAGCCTGGGCCTGGGGTATCATCCAAATGGCATTTGCTGGGACCATCATTCCCGTGCTCCCAACTGCCCATACGGGGACCATCCCTTGCGCCGCCGTCGGAACCGCCATCGCCTGAGTCAACGGGGCCAGCCCTGAGGTCTGGGAAACAGATACAGCCGCCGCCTCCGCCGCTTCGGTGAGGTCGCAGAACTCGGAGTTGCAAGGGCGCTTGCGTTTCTTCGCCGGCGGTGGCGCCTCGATTAGCGAGCTGTTGTTCGTGGACGAGGAAGTCGTCGTGGTGGGGATTTTGAGGGTCCCACCGACCGAGACCGCAATCGCCGGGACGGTGCCGGTCCCGGTGGCGGCAATAATGGCCTGCTCCGCGTGCTCGAGCAACCACCGCACGGTTTCCCCGTCCGATTTGTGGCCCAGCTCCCGGGTCAGCTGGAAGATCCGAGCGGCGCAGGTTGCGGGTATTCGGATCCTGCGGCCCCGCCCTTCGACCTTGGTGTGCCGGTCCTTAGTCGACGACCGCCGCTTCGCCACCGTGCCGGCAGCTTGCTGCATAGGCATGGGGACGGACAAGGGCATTTGCATCGCGACAGGGACCATCCCCATGGCGGCGGCAGAGGGCGGCGGAGTGGTTTCCCGGTCCGGATCTATCGGCTCCTCTTTCAGAGACAAAACCTGGTAAGCTTCGGATTCGTCGATTGTGGATATCTTGGACACCTCGCCGCCGACGCTGGTGCTGATATCGGAGGAGCCGCCTTCATCATCCCCCTCCATTATCCGCTCTTCTTGTTCGGTCCTTCAAATTATTCCCATTCCAGGACAAAAACCCAATTCGCGGAAATTAACGAGAAAAGAGAGGCGGGGTGAAAAAGGGGTGTTTGTTTCCCGGGAAAAGGAACCACAATCTTTCTTTTCCTGGAGTTGGGTAGGAAAGGCCAAGAAAACTGGGGAAGAGAGACTGAGAAGGGAAGGGAAGGGAAGGGAAGGGAAAGGAGAAGATCAAACCCTAGGAATTTTGATTAGGGAGATTGGATGGGTTAGGCATTTTAGGAGGGAGCGGGGAATTTGAGAGGGTGGTGGTGGTGGGGTTAGGAGAAATAGACGGTTGGGATAAGATCATAGGAGAAGTGTGGGTTGGGCGGGATGAAACAGTGACACGTGTCCGGGGACCTACTCGGCGGTCCTCAAAAATTGTGTGGGATGGGTGGGGGAGGGTGGGTCCGGATCGGGTGGACGGTGGACCACAGTGCACAGGTGGTCTCCATTGCCAACCAATATAAGAGTGTGTGTGGGAAAAGTCTTTCCGGGAAAAATAAATATGTTGGGTCTGATTTTTAAGCTTTCACAATCTTGAAATTGTTTAAATCATGCTGACGTAAGAGCCATTAGCGTATGCTTAAATGATTGGGTTATTTTTAGTTGTATGCCTCACCTCATGTGGTCGATCAAATTGCGATATCAATAGTGAATGAATTTTTTTATATATTTTAGCATTTTATTTTGAAATAAGATTTATCGGTTTCTTTCATGGTAAAAATGGGTAATGAAGAACCAGCAACTCTATAATTATTATCGATTTTAATCTTGTTGTTAAGGCTTAGGATTTCAAGTTAACGTACAGTTTACATAAATTTGTGGCAGTTTAATTAATAATTGACTAATTACCTTATATAAATGTATCTTGTCGTGAAGAAGGACGGTAATAAATTGAAAAGGTTGGAGGGCCCCACCTTCCTTGGTCCATGAGATGCCCCCATCTTTCTTTGCTGGCAGCTGCCCCGGTGGTCCACGCCAGCATCAACGGTAATGGGCTTCCCCACCACGCCCCCTCAATCTTTTAAGTTTTGGATTTTCGATACATATATTTTAAAATTCGGACATTTCGATACTTTAAGTCCGAACAAATAGTTGAATTTTTCACAAATCTCATTAAAATCTTCTAGTAAAAGACATTTCGAGAACTCCCATGACATAAATGGATTGCTCCTCTCGTTTTCTGTTTAATAATTTCTCCTCCAATGATCTTTCTCCAACTTACCCAATTCAAAGACTTTTACATGATGAGAGAGAATTGAGGTTTGTAGTAGCCATCATACTCAAAGAATTATGTATCAGAATGAGTAGGATCTAAAAGTTCAGATGCTAAATCGACAATCTTGCAATTTTCATAAAATTGGAAGTGGGGGTTTGGTTAAAAAAAATAAAAATTGGAGGGTGCGGGTGGTGGTGGGCCTGTGGAGGCATGACCTTCTCTCTTTAATTGGGGTCGGGAGTTGGGACATGGGAGAGATAAACGGTGGCGATTAGATCACAGAAGAAGTGTAGGGTTTGGGTTGAGGGGATAAAATACTGACACGTATGGTGGGCCTACTCGATTACCCAACTAGGCAGTGGGGGATGGGGAGCGGGTGGGCCCAAACCGGGTGGACCACGGAGCAGAGAGAATAGGTGGCCTGGAAGTGGTGTCAGGAAAGTTGGAAGAAAAGGGGGTCCGGTCTACTTTTTGCTTCAGAGAAAGCTGAAAGAGGTGGTGTGTAATCGTAATATAAAAATCAAAGCTGAGAACTGTAAGCGTGTAGCTATATATATGATAATGATATCTCCTTGCTCGGAAGCGATGGCATTTGAAGTCGGATCTAATCCGGCTCGACATGGTTAAAGTTGGATAAAATCCAGTTTTTGATCGATTCTGGGTTGTATTCGATGTAGGTAAAAACATGTTTTAGGAATTGGTGGTTGGATTCTGTACGAATTTGCGTGTTAAAATTGAGCTCGTTTTTTTACTTGATTTGCACACAAACAACTTATTTCTCGCTCTTAATAGAAGTGCACAGGATTTCGAGTAAGAAAAAAATTATGCGGATTTAACCGAGTATGTGTAAGCACGAATTTTACGCGTACAAATTAGTCACGAGATGTCTAATCATCCGTTTGCTCTATACTGCAATGGTGGTCCAAGTAGGCTAGCATCTAGGAAGTTTTAATGGGCTCTCTTCTAGCTCCCCTCAGAACTAGGCTCTGGGTCTGGATTATGGGCTCGGCCCAGTTCGGACTGTCGGAGCCATTCCATTCCTAGATCTAGTGCTTCCCTTGCGAGCTAGATATTGACACATGCACTCAGTAGCTCTCCCCACTGAAGACTTTGCGTTCGAATTTTGCGACATCTACGAAAGTCGGCAGCAGGAGCAATGAAATGGTTCTCGTCACTGAATAGTGAATACTTTGGGTTTGGCAGCTTATGCCCTCTGCCGATGTAGTTCATGGTGTCGGTTTGGGCCTACTTCAGTACTTTGACTCAAGAACAAAGATTGTCTATATATAAAATTATGTTCGACCCAAGCCCATACTAAAAGCTCATCGAAGCCCATTCTCCATGTTCTCCTTATGTCCTCTGCCGATGTAGACTGTACTTGTAGAGTAAAAAATCGCATTTATCTAATGGCCAGAAAAAGAAAAACAAGAGTAAATCGCATTTCCTTCGCTTCGAGCAAAACGACGGTTGATGGTTGGTTCAGAAAGAACGACGGTTGAGATGATGCATTGAACGACAAGTGTGGAACACGGACCGAACCTGGGAAGGAAATTGCGCCTTTTTATTAGTTTCTCAACACCAATTGCGCTTCACACAAACTAAAGACGGACAGAAAGATACATTATGGGAGAGAAATGAACATCATGAACTTAGAAAAGGACTCTAGGAATCATTTTGCTTGCCCTAGTCTAGGCAGACACACTTGTCTGCTTAGGCTGCTGCTGCTGATCACATCTAAAGAAGCCACACACAATGTCACAATGAGTACTTAAAAATCATGTCTCCAAATACTGCAGCCCCACATCAAATTAAATCCAATTCCACTACGTCAGTGACCGTTGACGATCGAGCCGTTGGCAGGAGCGCAGTCGGTCGCCTTCTGTGAGTAGAATCTCCGATACATCGAGTCAACTTCAGTGAGGTAGTATGTTCCAGGGGCTAAGCAGCTTGTATCCTTGCTCGTCACAAAGTCCTTGCCCCCGTACCTGTGCTCCATCAGTTTCAGGGTCTCCACAAACTTCTCTGGAGCAACCTGCATGGGGAACGAATAACACTCGGCATCACTAACATGCAATGCGGACCGATGAGTCGTAGAAGCAAGGCTGATCGCGGCTAGTCTAAGAAAGAGCGTTAAATCCTTCGAGTTTAAGGTACTGGAAGTGGTGTGACTGGGATTACAGTTCCCTGACGGGGAAGCAATCCCTCACAAGTACATTCATCATTCATCCACTTGTGTATCATTAAGACTGTAGAAGCAAAGTGGAGGTTTCTTTTAAGCTTTGTGCGAAGTTCAAAGTAGGAGTGGGAGTTACCTCAATCCTTGACTTCAACTTTTCGTCGACGCTCATAACGGAAGCAATGTTGGACAAGCTAAAAGGATGTTGTCCTTCTTGTAACTTCAAGGAGAACATAGTGGCTGTTAAACCACTTCCATACGAGAACATTACAATCCGCTTGCCCGCCTGTCATACAAATCCCCAAAAGCACATATGTCAATACCAGCATTCTGCATATTATTTCACCCAGTTGTTTGAGTATTTTTGCTGTAGGGCAAAAAGAGTTTTACCAATTCACTGTTCTTGTTATGCAGAAGGGACACGAAGGCTGCATAAATAGACGCAGTATACATGTTCCCAACTTGTTTTGGAATCAATGTGGTTGGCTGCACTTTGGAGTCATAGAACGGCTTGGCAACTTGTTGGGCCACCTGCAAAAATGAAAAACGTTTAAGCATAAATTGGTCGACAATTAATGAATCATGTTAACATTGATCGACATAAAATTCATTTTTAAGAAGCTTTTATTCGGCCATCATTGAGGTTGGCTGGCTAACCTTTTCAAGATCCCGACTCTGGTAGCTCTCATCGCCTGATAAACTTGAAAATGGTGCAAACTTCTCTTTGGCAGCCTCGTCAATGGAGCTAGAAAGAGACACCAATCACAGATATTTAGTCAATACAAAAATTTAGACAAACTAACGGAGTCGAAGTGAAGCAAAAGACAAGAAATATTCAGAGGCCTGAAGCCAAAGAAACTAACCTTGCATCCCTGGTGAAGTCATCGAAGACCAAACGGGCAAAGCTCTTCTGTACAAGCTGCAGTAGAGTATTTATTTGAAAATGTTAACCAGCTTGACCAGCTTGACAAAAGAGGCAAAAAGAAGATAACTCAAACTAAAGTCTGAGGATAAACAAACTACCTTATTGTAAGGTGAATGAAAAACAAAATATTCAGCATCAGAAATAGAAAATTGCTTTCCTTCAAACTTCTCATACCTACAGAAACAGGATGGCATTCATGTCAAATAAATAACTTGAACAATACTCAATACTAAAACCTCTAAACTGAAAGAGAGACATACTTGGCACAAAAATGCTTGTAGCAGGCATCAAGAGCCATGAGGTAGCACGTTTGAGAAAGCTTGCCATCTACAACCTACAACCACATCAGCAACATTTAGCACCAAGTATTAGTCTATTAGATGAATTCCACTACTTGAAAATAAAGATATTTAAGGCATGTTGTAGCTAAAGTTGAACACATCCAATGGAAAGTTCAGTTCGTTGGCACTGATGGACTCTGGTTTTTGCACTCTTCAGTGTCAATAGTAGTAGTCCCCCATTCGCAGAAGAGGTCCCGGAGGAAATCAATTTGTCTAAGCTCTAGAACAATGTAAGAGTTATTTTAGAAGAATCACCGGATATTCACTGGCAAGGTTGGGCTTGTAAAAGTCATAGGCATGCGCCATATGACTTCCCCTATATTTGCTTTCGAAAACAATAGGTGCATCTGGGCCTATTAGCATGACAATTGCTGCAGCGCCTCCAGTAGGCCTGGCTGGTCCTTCAGCATAGACCTGATGAACATACGAACAGACCTCCAGTAAGCATTAGGTAATCAAATATTGGTGTCTGACCATGCACGAATGGCACCAATGAATAAAAGATCCATACCGCACTATCAGTACACACAACGAGGCCATATCGGCCATCCCATGAGCTGCTCTCAACCCAGTTTACACAGTTGAACAGAGCTGCAGTTCCTCCATAGCAAGCATTTGTTGAATCAACACCTTCAATGTCGGTGTTCCCGCATTTCTGTTTGTATCATAATAAAGAAAAGGCAGATTGCAAATTAAGAACATGTCTGGTAAATAGAAGATACCATGATAAGCTGCCAAAACAAAAATCTAGGAAGCAAAACTCAAGTACCAATTACATCCAACTTAAGCTTCAATCAATTCAGTGAAGTACATCCCTAAACCAAATATCAAAACAAACACCTCCATCTACCACGTACTAAACTTCAATGGCTGCATGCAACATCCAATATCTGCTAAACCACTCCTACTCATAGCTCAAAATATCCATGGACTGGAATCTGGATCCTGCTTTTGGGCATAATGGGTTGAGCAGAATGTATTTATGTCCATACAAACAAGAAAAGAGCACTACTTTATGCTATAAGAGCACAACCCAACACCCAAAAGAAGGATTGAACACAAAAGAAGAGGAGAGGAAAGTGGAAAGGCACCTCAAAGATCTGCATCAAGAAAGTCTTGATCGATTTGCTTTTATCAATCACAGTTTCACTCCCAACTTCAAGACGACCAACTTGCTTGGGATCAACACCATACTTCTCCAGGAGTGAATTAACGGCAGTCAAGCTGCAGTTTAGCAGAGAATGGATTAGGAGGGAGCCAATAAGGAGAAGTGGAAAAGAGGGGAAAAAGCGATACAATGAGTACAGAATCAAACCTCATGGAGATGACGTCTTCCACATCAGTACAAAATGCCATACAATCCTGGCCAAGCCCAATGGTGTACTTCCCTTTGCTTGCTCCATCATGAACCTCCAGAGCTTCCTGTTGGACACCAACCAAATTTGTCAAATACCAACCAAATCGGCAGCAACTACCAAAGAGAGTAGAGAGAACTACCAAAGAGAGTAGAGAGAGAGCCATGTAGATTTCATCCCAACTTCGTAAACATCGAAGCAGGGTCCATAAATTCAAAAAAAAATTAAATTTAAAATCTAAAGAAACCCACCAAAATCAATCATCATTTCGCAGTAATATTCAGTTACGCCGAAATCACTAGTTCAGAGGCAAACCCGCCACGCTTAATTCGATTCGCTGAAATCGCAGAGTCAAAGGGGGAGAAAAAAAGGAAACGGCAGTCCCTTCGAATCGTCCGTTTCATGCAACGGGAAAATTAGAAAAGAGAAGGCGAAGAAGTCTTGCAGTTCGCCGACAGGGGAGTAGCAGAGAGACGGGGAGAGAGGGAGGGAGGGAGATCAATAGGAATTTACCTGCTGAACACAGGTAGGAGGGAAGTAGATTTCCATGGCCAAAATTCCTACATTCTTCGCCATTTTGCAGGAGAGTAGTTTCTTCTCGGCTTGGTCGGAGGAATCAAAGGGAGAAGGAGCGAGAGAGTGGGCGACGATGAGAAGGGTCACACAAAGGTTGTTGTTGTTGTTGTTGATTATGAGTGCCAAAAGGCTGTTGAAAGCAGGGTTTATATAGGAAAACGAAGGCAGGGGATGGTGGGCAGAAGTGCGGACTTCCTCGCTCCCTCTTCAGAATTTTCCTTCCGTTTTGCCCGAACTTGCATTACATGCCAAGATTGTTAAGTTTGGGTTGGACCGTTCCGTTTCGGTTGGACCATTATTTTCGACACTCAACCGAGCTGATTATTATTAGTTACCTGATCAACTCAAGATTAGGTGATTTGGATTGATTCCCACGAATCAAATGAGTCATAATCGTCCGGTCTCGAGCCAGAATGTTTATAGACTAACAAATAGATGTTGTTTGACAAAGTTTTATATTAAGTCACGCGCTTCAAAATACACATAATCTCAAATATTGCGATCTTCATCTCAAATTAACATTAGAAATAGATGTGTAATTACCGGAAAAAAATAGATGTATCAAAAAATTCAATACATCCTCATAATTAACTAGCGTGGGCCCCGGCCATTTGGCCGAAGGAATGTGAGGTATGAAATTTGATGATGTAATGTGGTGTATAGCTTATTGTTGTATAGTTTTTTTTGAAACACGTGATAAAAATAGTGAATTTTAGTAGGAAAGAGATATGAATGATGCAACGAATCAAAAATCAGTCTTATGAACCAAAATCAAGTACCTGTTACCTTGTGAAACAATATTGTTTCTGGTAATATGATGAGGTGGAGTAGTTTTATAGAAACCGAATTCCAAAAAATTGAATAAAAAATCGCCTATCCCGCCGGTTTTCGGGAAATGAGCATCTCACAATCGTTGCTAGCTTTTACTCGGCCCGTTGGCCGATTAATTTGCTTTATAAAACTTTCATCTTGTCATCATTGTGCTTTCTGTTTTTTGCCAAGCCATGATAAAATCTAAAGAAATCAAGAATGAACAACACGATTTGGGATAGGAACCACCGTTCCTGTATCCCTAGAAAATGGTGGTAAACACGGACTCACCTGCCAAACTGGTTTGGATTGAGATTTTTATCGGGTATCAGGGAACCATGTGATTATAAATTAGACTTGATCAAAACGGGCCAAAACTTGAAATTCAGCATGTTTGACCGACCCATGCCAAACTCTAATTATTCTTTACTTTTAAACTTTCTATTTGAAAATAAAAAATAATGAAAGAAAAGAGATGACAGCAGTTCACCATTTGCACATCACTAATTCGAGAATAAAACTATAGAATTTCGAAAGGAAACTGAAAATGTTTAGGATCGTTTTAATGTTAAAAATAACCAAATAGATCTTTTTTGTTTAGTTTTTTACTAACAAATACCAAACGATTCCCTATAATATACACTATAATTTAATCATTATGATATCAAATAATTACATAATATATATTTGAAATGATAAAAATTGGACTAATTGGGTTGGTCGAGGTTGAACCATTGAATAAATTTAAAATATATTATATTTTAGCTACTAAGATATAAAATAATAGCATAATATATATTATGCTAGAGAAAATAGTTTGTTTTAGAATGGCAAACCCATGATGTTCATTTTTTTTACTTGATGGGCAAATCCCGAGTAGGTCAGGCCTATTCAACTCTTTTATTTTATGATTAGTAGTTAGCCCATTAGAATCAATCCATTAGTTTATTGTTAATTTTTTTCTTTTAATCAATAAAAAGGAGTATTGTTTTTGCCTTTTCATATATATTTTACCACCACGGAGAAATAAAAGGACTTAAAGAAAAAAATTGACACTCCTGAACCCGTTTAAATCCGCATGTGTACGGTAAGTTGGCCCGTTCCACAGAGGAAAAAGAAAAAAAATTGACATCCCTATTCTACCCTTCCTACAAACGCACCTGGAGTAGGGAATTTGAAATGGGGGAAGGGTTTTTTCCTCTATGCAATTATATGTTTTTAATGTAAAAAAATACAACAAATGTACTTAGTGTGATTGGTTATGATATTTGTTTTTCTTTAAAGTGATCATGGTTCGAATCCTAGTAAGTGTCTTTTTAATGAATAAAAAAAAATAATTGTGAAGACCAAAATGTCCTCCCTACTTTCACTCTGGATGCAGGAAATTTGAAATGGAGCTTGAAGTTTTCTCATTTGGCTTTTATTTATTGTGTAGATGTAGTCAAAAACTCGTTTGTATGTAGAAGCGTTTAGATGATCTAGAAGCGTAAAATCGTAAGTTTTTAAGTTGTAAAGTGCATTTTTAACTACATTAGTTATAAAAACGGCGATTCTGCGTAGAAGCGTTTTGAATATCCAGAAGCGTAAAATCGTAAGTTTTTAAGTTTTAAAACGCGATTTTGACTACATTGCTCATAATCCCATGAAGGATCCTTTAATCCAAAGAAGCTCATAGTAATTTTGATTATGAAATATGATTTACCTTTGAAGTGACTTTTATTCGGATTAGATCTTATATCGACATCATTTTAGTAATATACCTTTGGCAACATTGATCATCATTGTTATCATTCATGTGTGTCTAACCACCTTGATGTATTAATTCATTTTCGGACAGTATACATTTTAGATACTTGAGAAATATCGTAACACTCATCATTAATTCTAGACTTTACGAATCATACTAACGTCATCTCTTCTTCCAAATTAGTTCCACACTTCTAAAAACTCTCATGAGTAATAATAATCCTCATTAAATGAAGAGATTTTTTTTTTACAATGAAAAAAACAGATCAGAGAGTGGGTCTAAAGGTAGACAATAAAGGAAGTAACAACCTGGGAGCTGGGGACATGCATGATGCATCCATGTAGGCTGTAGCTACACTGACCCAACTGCTAGGGTTTGATCATATCGAATCATACGTACGTGGGAGTGGGACCGATCAATGGACTTGACTTTACACTCTGTAACCCAATTAAATGAAAGCCCACTAATACCAAAGCCCAGCAGCCCAATAAATGTTGCACCATGTCGCATATGTGCTGTCACAATGTTATCCGGCACTATGTAACTCATGGATCGACAGGAGCTTAATTTTCTTCTCGAGTTTGTTGAACATTAATTTTGATTAGTAGTTTTGATGAAACAAAGTATTCAGTGAAGACATCTATGTTTTCTGTTGTATTTTATCCGGCTATATCAAATCAAAAGTCTAGTTCATTTCACTGAGTTATAACGTCAACCATGAATTGAATAATTAACATTAATAATAAAGTCAAACTGCATCAAGGAGAGATTGATCTAATGGTGCTAACTCGAGTTTTCAACTTGAATGACAAAAAAATAAAAAATAGAAAAGCAAATCAATATGTACAGTTTTATTTATGCCCATCACTGACTTATACGCACTGTGCATATATTTATTAAATTAGGAAAAAAAAAAATCTTAATCTATAAGCAATATTAAATCAATTACATCATGTAACGACTTAGTTTATTTCATTATTTCAACAAGTGGGCCTATTAAAAATTTGAAATAGTTAATCCTATATATAGTACTTTCTCTTGTTGTGAAGTTGATTTTTTTACCAACCGTTGCTCTTGTTAACTTGTTGATAATTAGCATGTTGGAGATCTTACCTTTTCAACATGTGCCAAACAATCAAGGGATTAAAGTTAGATGTTAAACATAACTAATATCTTCATATTTTATCTAAAAGTTATTTTGATATTACGTACGATTGACGCGATAAGTTGTGCCTTTGACTATATATGTTTATGATTTCAGTTTTATTGTGTAACTCTTGTGACGTCTACCGATTTGGTCAAAGAGCAAGTAAAATTTCACCATTGTACATAAAAAAAAAAGTGTAGCTTCAATATTTTCTTGAGTCACTATACAAATATAACTGTTTTGGGTTCCATTTTTTTACAACCAAAGAAACATTAAACATCATAAATTAATCAAAACTGTGAGATTCTTGAACATTGTATTTTTTTTTTTTTTTTTACGTTGAATCAGTTCTTCGTATTAATGAAACGAGTCTTATACAACGAACTGGGCAAAGCCCAAGAGGGTGAAACAGAATTGGGCAATGTTTCTTGAGCATTGGAGACTAGAGCCCTATAATTTGAAATGAAAAGTCATTAATCATAGTTTATCTCACTAACCACCACATTGGTTTCCCCCAACAGTCCAAATAATCATCCTTGGCTTTTAAAAAATTAACCTTTTGTCACAGATCAACATGTGATGCCACGACTACATTGACTAGGTCCACATGACTAATGTCCTCTTTAAAATATTACACATTCATTTCACATAGAGAACTCTAACCTAAACTGGAACTCATTTGGTTTGTACAGAAATGGCAGACGTCTTGTTCAAAAAAATTCCAAACCGCTAACTTCCACCCGATGACACCCCCGCAATAGGTTTCAGCCAAGAAGAAAGGAATAACGGACAAGGATTTATCCTGCTGAATTTTATCGAATCGATATTATGATGAATTTTTAATGAGGTTGCAATTGATTATATATATTTTTGGTTGAGACAATAAATTGAACAACAGCTGAACTTTCTTACACGATTAATCGATTACAATCCTCATTCCTTCTGGTTTATATTTGGTCCGACCCTATTTCGGTTTGATTACCAATATAAAACCGGATCATACCAGCCGTTTGGTATAATAATAGTGTAGTGGGAGTTATTCTAACACGTGAAATTCGTTTGAAGGTTTAATTGTATTTTACTCTTCTTTTGCATCATTGCCAAGCCAGATGAAGTTTGTTTCTGGGAAATTCAACAATATTCGGCTGGCTGCTGCCAGTGCCACTCTATATTTATAGAATGACAATGCTAGTACTTGTAAATTGGCGGGCGGTACTAAATTTTATATTAATTTCTGCTAAAAGCCATTGTCTTTACAAAATTAATTTCTGCTGAAAATTTGAATTGGGAACAGGAGAGAATGAGAGAGAGGTCCAAATTCCAATCTAAGAGTGTTTTATATATATATATATATATATATATATATATATAAATAATGATATGCGCACGCCACTGCGCTGATGAGTCACAAATATTTAGTCAAGAGATGCTCCACAGGAGGAATTTTACAATGCTATATAGTATTGGTGC